AAAAATAGTCGATGGAAAAACTTTCTTAAAGCTTTAAAATTCCAAATGCTGAAGAGAGAAAAAGAGCCTTAGGATCAATTGGAGGAACAAATTTTAAAATAAAAATGGCATTAAAAAATGTAGATGACTATTGGCTACCCATTAATTCTCCTGGTCCATCCGATTGGCTTGCAAATGAACACGAATCAGGCTAAACGTATGAAGTAAATTAATTATTTGGTTTTCTCCTTATAAATGTCTCTTTAGGAATTTATAGTTAGGAAAAATGCGATTGTTGAAAAAGGAAAATGAGATACAATTTATATTTTACCTCTTGAAAAGTAAATGTCAAAAGCTTTTCTTAAAAATCTTGCTAAAATGTGTGAGGCATTTTTTTATAGTTGTAAAATAAAGACATTGCCAAGTGTGGATATTAATACAATTGAAAATATTGAAACTAGAAAGTTTCCTGGTGATTAATATGCTCCAGATACACCAGGATTGTTACAATATAATGCTTCATAGATTATTAGCTGGTTAGCTAAAATATACAAACCCAAAAACCCTAAAGCAATTTGTATAATTGCAATAACAACTCAGGATATTTATCCTGATGAAAAGTTTTCATTTTTGTTTGGATTGGCAAACATAACGACCCAAGTAGGTGTATTTAGTTTTCTAAGATATGATCCTTTATTCAATGGAGATATATTGAATTAGGGGGATGATGGTTCTAACTTAATGTTACACAGAGCATGTAAAGTTATGACTCATGAGATTGGGCATATGTTTGGTATTAAACATTGTATATATCACGAATGCTGCATGAATGGTATAAACCATATCTAAGAATGCCAAAATAAGCCTCTTTATTATTGCGCTATATGCCTCAGAAAGCTTTAACATGCTATTGGATTTGATGTTTTAGAGAGATACTAATCTCTTACACAAGTATGTAAGGAATTTGGTGGATTATTTGATCAAGATGGTTAATGGTTTTAGCGTAGATATGATGATTTATATTCAAAACTTGGGAAATAATAATCTCAACAGTTGCCTGTCAAAAAGGCAAAATAAATATGAAATTCAAATATTCATAACTAATCTTTATTTGCGGGGTTTTGGGGTTTTGGGGTTTTGGGG